AAGTACACCCATGTGTGTAAAATGGGATCCTGAGTGCACCCATGTGTGCAAAATGGGGTCCTGAGTGCACCTACGTGTGTAACAGGGGGTCCTGAGTGCACCCACGTGTGTAACACGGGGTCCTGAGTGCACCCACGTGTGCAAAATAGGGCTCTGAGTTCACCTACCTGTGCAAAATGGGGTCCTGAGTGCACCCATGTGTGTAACATGGGGTCCTGAGTGCACCCACCTGTGCAAAATGGGGTCCTGAGTGCAGGTGGGTGCAAAATGGGGTCCTGAGTGCACCCATGTGTGTAAAATGCGATCCTGAGTGCATCCACATGTGCAAAATGGGGCTCTGAGTTCACCTACCTGTGCAAAATGGGGTCCTGAGTGCACCCATGTGTGCAAAATGGGGCTCCTGCATGCAGAAAGGCTTTGCACACCCCCACGTGTGCACTCACGGGGATCCTGTGTGTGCAGTTGGTGCTCAGTGCCTCCATGCACGCAGCTCCATGCACACACATGTGTGTGCACGAGGGGCTCAGCTCAGTGCACGCCCAGCAGACGCAGCTCTGTGCGTGCACAAGACCTGGAGTTGTTGCTCAGTGCGTGCACACGCATGGACAAGCAGCTCAGTGCATGCACACACGTGTGGATCTGCAGCTGGGTGCATGTATGTGTGTGTGCACACTCAGGACGTGCATCTGCTGCATGCACACGTGTGTGCACACTCAGGACATGCAGCTGGGTGCGTGCACACACACGTGCAAACTCAGGACACAGATGAGTGCATGCACACACGTGTGTGCACACTCAGGACACACAGCTGGGTGCATGCACACATGTGTGTGCACACTCAGGACATGCTTCTGCTGCATGCACACACGTGTGCACACTCAGGACACACAGCTGAGTGCATGCACACGTGTGTGCACACTCAGGACACACAGCTGGGTGCATGCACACGCATGTGCAAACTCAGGATATGCTTCTGCTGCATGCACACACGTGTGCACACTCAGGACACACAGCAGGGTGCACACACATGCATGTGTGCACACTCAGGACACAGCTGAGTGCATGCACACACGTGTGTGCACACTCAGGACGTGCTGCTGCATGCACACGTGTGTGCACAGTCAGCACACACAGCTGAGTGCACGCGCACGTGTGTGCACACTCGTGACGCGCACCCGCTGCACGCACACACACGCGTGCACTCCCAGCCCCCTCCCCGTGCCTCAGTTTCCCTCCCCCCCCAGGTGTGGTTCAAGAACCGCCGCGCCAAGTGCCGCCAGCAGCAGCAGCAGAGCAGCGGGCAGCCCAAGGCTCGCCCGGCCAAGAAGAAGCCGTCCCCCCCCCGGGAACCGCAAAGCGACGCCGGGGGGGCCGGGCCGTACAGCCCCACCCAGCCCGGCCCCGCGGGGACCCCCGGCTCCGCCGCCCCGGTCTCCATTTGGAGCCCGGCTTCCATCTCTCCGGTGCCGGACCCGCTGGCCGCCGGCAGCGCTCCGGGTTTGCCGCGTTCCGCTCCGTTCTCCGCCGCTCCCTACAACCAAACGGCGCCCTACGGGCAGAGCTACGGGGGCTCGGCCGCCTATTTCGGGGGCCTGGACTGCGGGCCGTACCTTTCCCCCATGCATCCTCCGCTGGGGGCTCCCGGAGCGGCTCTCAGCCCCCTGGGGGCACCCATGGGTGCTCACCTGACGCCCTCCCCCGCCGCTCTGTCCGGGCAGAGCTTTGGGGCGGGGTTGGGCTTTGGGGCGGTGGATTGCTTGGAGTACAAAGAGCAGGCGGGAGCGTGGAAGCTCAACTTCAACCCGGCCGATTGCCTGGACTACAAGGAGCAGAGCTCCTGGAAGTTCCAGGTGTTGTGAAGGGGGGGGAGGAGAGACGGGGTGGGGGGTAGGGGGTGAATCTGGGGGGGGGTGGGAGCGTGTGGGGCGGCCCCGGGGGTCGGGGTGGCTCCGCATGGACTGCGGTCGGGGTCTGCAGAGTGTGGGGAGGGTGCAGAAGCCCCAAAGGATGCAGCATCCCTGCATGGAGCATCCCTGCATGGAGCATCCCTAAGGGACACAGCATCCCCACATGGAGCAGCCCTAAAGGATGCAGCATCCCTGCATGGAGCATCCCTAAGGGACACAGCTTTCCTGCATGGAGCATCCCTGCATGGAGCATCCCTGCATGGAGCATCCCCAAAGGATGCAGCATCCCTGCATGGAGCATTGCTAAGGAACAGAGCATCCCTGCATGGAGCATCCCTAAGGGACACAGCATCCCTGCATGGAGCATCACTGGGGAACACAGCACTGCTGCATGGAGCATTCCTGCATGGACCATCCCCAAAGGATGCAGCATCCCTGCATGGAGCATTCCTAAGAGACACAGCATCCCTGCATGGAGCATCTCTGCATGGAGCATCCCCAAAGAATGCAGCATCCCCAAAGAATGCAGCATCCCTGCATGGAGCATCCTAAGAGACACAGCATCCCTGCATGGAGCATCACTGGGGTACACAGCACTGCTGCATGGAGCATTCCTGCATGGGCCATCCTCAAAGGATGCAGCATCCCTGCATGGAGCATCTCTGCATGGAGCAGCTCCAGGACACACAGCATCCCCGCACAGGGCATCCCTAAGGAGTGCAGCATCCCTGCATGGGCTGTCCCTGCATGCATCACCCCCCAGGACGTGCAGCATCCCTGCATGCATCACCCCCAGGGTGTGGAGGATCTCTGCGTGCAGCGTCCTTGCTTGGAGCAGCCCTAAGGAACACGGCATCCCTGCATGGAGCATCTTTGCATGGAGCATCCCTAAGGGACAGAGCATCTTTGCATGGAGCATTCTTAAGGAACGGAGCACCCCTGCATGGTGCATCCCTGGGGAATACAGCATCCCTGCGTGGAGCATCCGTGCGTGGAGCATCCCCAAAGAATGCAGCACCTTTGCGTGGAGCATCCCTAAGGAATGCAGCATCCCTGCACGGGCTGTCCCTGCACGCATCACCCCCAGGACGTGGAGGATCCCTGCATGCAGCATCCTTGCATGGAGCAGCCCTGCATGGCACATCCCCAGGACATGCAGATCTCTGCATGCCACATCCCTAAGGAGCACAGCATCCCTGCAAAGCATTCACAACGACTGCAACATCTCCCTGTACAGCGCATCCCTCAGGACTGCAGCCGCCTTGCATTCTGCATCCCTGCATTCTGCACCCCTGCATCCTACATCCCTGCATCTCACATCCCTGCATCTCACATCCCTGCATTCTGCATCCCTGCACTCTGCATCCCTGTATTCTGCATCCCTGCATCCCACATCCCTGCATCTCACATCCCTGCATTCTGCATCCCACATCCCTGCATTCTGCATCCCTGCATCCCACACATCCCTGCATTCTGCATCCCAGCTTGGAGCATCCCCACAGCACAACCCATCCCTGCACGCTGCAGCTCTGCATGGACCATCCTTGTGGTGCTGAGCACTGCACCCATGGCATGCAGCACCCTTGCAACACATTGCAACGCCGTTTGCACCACCGGGCACCTTTGCAGCTGCTTGGCACGGATGCATCTCTGCAGCACGGAGCGCCCACCCAGCGCACAGCATCCTTGCAAGCCTGTTGCAGGGCACCCTTGCAGCACAAAGCACCGTTGCAGCATGGAGCGCCCTCACAACTTGTTGCAGTGCAATTATTATTATTATTTTTGCAGCACAGAGCACCTTTGCAGCTGCTTGGCATGCATCTCTGCAGCATGGAGTGTGCATCCAGCACAGAGCATCCTTGCATCCTGTTGCGATGCAGCCTTGCAGCACAGAGCACCATTGCATCGCATTGCATTGCTGCACGAACTGACATTGTCCCCCCCCCCC